ATTTGGTCACAGTAACATTCCAGTTATGGAAGAGACCCAGTGTTCCTAGCTTTAGGTGAGCAGAGGAGCAGAAGACATTGATCCCTGTGATGAGGAGGGTCTTGTTGAGGACATTTATTCTTTTAAGAATAAACAGAAATAAAATTAGTGGTATGTTAGTATGGGCACAAATTATCTTCTCTTTCAAAACAATTCATTTTATTTTTTGTGTATTAGTGTTTTACCTATATGGATGTATATATGTGTACCATATGCCTGCCTGGTGCCCAAGGATATCAGAAAAGGGCATTGGATCTGCATCTTGGCTCCCTGAGCCTGAGCCAGCAGACACAGCTCCTTTCTGCCCTGGTTTTGGGTCAGAAGACATAATGGAGTTTTCTTTTCTGATAGTAAAGGAATCACTGACATTAACAACAAATCCACAGAGACATCCATTTCAATCCTAAATTTCCAGACAAATACACTTTTAAATAAACATTTCTTCTTTTTAAAATTTTTGGATTTTTTTTTCTTTTTTGTATATGAGATTTTCACCTGCATGTACGCATGTGTATCACAGGCATGCATGGTACCAAGGAGGTTAAAAACAAGAGAGAATCAGTTCTGTTCCATGGTAGAATTACAGAGGGTTGTAAGCTACAATGTCGTGCTGGGAGCTGAACCCAGATCCTCTGCAAGAGCAACAAGTGCTCTGTTAACTGCTGAACCATCTGTCCAGCCCCACAAACACACTGATTTTCTGACAACTCGATTTTTGAGTATTGATAGTGGAAACTTGGTATCCAGAAAGGGCAGCTGTTTGGTGCTTTCACTATCAGTATCACAAGGCATTGTTCAGCTGATGCACACAGAGACAGTCATACTAGGTCATAAGTTATTAAAAACATATGGTGGAAAACTGGGGAGGGGGTAATAGCTCAGTGGTAGAGCACTTGTCTAGCACACTCAAATCCTTGGCTTTGATCCATAGTAACACACACACACACACACACACACACACACACACACAATCATGCATAATGGTCAATAGCCATGAGTCTCTCTACTCCTATCCCTTTATCCCACCTCACTGAGGTTGAACAAATCCCACCTTGGGAATACCCTTGTTCTCCCCAAAATCCAGCAATCAAAAGGGTTAATGCCTGGCAGGAACTGAGCAGATATGCTGCAGGCACTTCCCATCCTGGTTGATTAGGAAGCACCAAGCCACAAAGGGGTTAAGTATATTGAATGTTACCCCCCAGTTTTAGGGTGATGAAGCTGACACAAATCAATCGAACTGTGTTTTGTTAGGTTTTGTTTGAAACTACAGCAATACCACTCAGACCTAAGCATGCAACAGAATCCTTGGAGGACTTGATAAGGCGTGCACTGCTGGGCCTCACCCTCAGAGGTTCTGAGTCAGTAGGTCCAGGGTGGGGTCTGGGAATACACACAGTTCCCAGGCCATGTGGATGTAGCTCATTCACTGGTCTACAGGGAGCCTCAGTTAGAAATGGATCTTAGTAGTCATTCTTTTAAATATCAGCATGCACACGAGTAACATTCAGAGTCAGGATGCTGGCTCTTTCTTAATCAATGGATCTGATGTAGTCTGATGCCCTACATTTCTACTGACGAGACCTTCACCTTGTATCAAGGTCTATGTGGGACTTGAATAGCAAGAACCGGGGCACTAAAGAGAATTCACTCTTCATCTCCACACAGTGAAAGCTCTGTCTATAAGTCTGTTTTTCTGTCTACAGTCCCCTGCTGACCCTCTTTCTTTCGTTGACTATATTTTAACTCTATCTTCTTTTGCTATTTTTCTTCTTACTTGCTTCCTTTTCCCCTTCATCTCTCTACTTGGTTCCTTCCCATCTCACTTTCTGGTTTTCTTGCCAGCTTTTGAAGTTTTTTTTTTTTTTTAAATCCTGACTTCTCTCTGGACTGAGTGTCTATCTAAATTTTTTAAATAGCAAACAAAATAAAACAGAACAAAACTACAGCTCTAGTTGCTCATAAGGAAACTCCCCAGACTGTCTCTGACTTTCACGTTTCCAATGACAATGTCAGGAATGAGTCTAGGAAAATGCAAGTGAGCACATGTTGGGGAAACAATACAGCTGGCCGGGTCCAAAGGAAATGCCCAGACTCCTCTTATTCTAGAAAGTTCTTAACTGGGACTGTTTTTGCTGAGACTAGAAATCTTCCTTGTCTATGAACTAATACAGCAAACATTTTGTTTTAAGATATGAGTTGTGTAAACTTGACTGTTTTCTGGTGTTTAATGCTGCTTAAATCTAGTAGAGAACAAACAGGCTTCTGTAAGCTTTCCTCAGCACTCTCCTTGCCCTAGGGCTGGGCAAGCTGCTTGGCAGCAAATTCTATGGAAGTCTGCAAGTCTTAGCACTAGAGGACAGAAGTGTGGCCTAGCCTCACAACCCCCCCAGAAACTGGAGGATGAGGCAGACATTTTTTCCTTTTCCTTTTTTTTTTTTTTCTTATCTTATATATTGATTCCAGATCCCTCTCCCTCCCTCCCTCCTCCCTCCCTCTCTCTCTCCCCCTCTGTCCCATCCCCCCCAACCACCCTCCCATCCCATTCCCTCCCCACTCCACAGGGAGGGTGGTGCCTTCCAGGAGGGGCCAACAAAATCTGTAAAGTCATTTGGAGTAGAGACTAGGCCCTCCCTCCCGAGGCAGATGGTTTTCATTAATTAGCTGTGTGTCTCTCTGTGACAAGTGGCTGGGGCTTGAGTTCTAAATTAATTCTAGCAACCCAGAACTTCAAAACCTGCTGCATTTCAATCGTTCCCCTTACAGTTAGTAGATGAAATTATCCAGGAACTTGCAAGGTAAACCATGGAAATGATACCTAGAAGTCAGCCCTCTGTTTGAAGCAGTTGTTGCAGAATGCAGGCACAAATTTGCACCCCCAGATGTCATTTATGGTTGTCACCACTCAAGGATGCTAGTGACACCAGTAGGTAAAGCTCAACATCCCCATGCTGTTGAATATCCAGCTATGCAGACAAGGTCCCTCACCTGCCACGACAGCAAGAACTCTGATCCAAAGCATGAGTAAGGCGTCTACTGAAAGGCCTTGTTCAACAGATGCTCACTCTGAGTCCCATCTGTCTTCCCTTCTTGGGTGAAAATGAGAGAAAGGAAGGCAGAACTCATGAAGATAAGACCTTCAGTCTGTAATCATGACGTTTGCTTTTGTTTCTTGCGGTTTTGTTTGTGTTTGTTTTTTGGTTGGGATGACAGAGGGATCAAAAGAAGAAAGGTAACAAATTCTAATGCCAACCGGGTCTAGATGAGCAATATAAGCAAAGCATTTCAGGGGCAAAATATGGGGAAGATAGATATTGGACAAAGACATCAGAAACACTCTGCTTGTTATTTGTTATAGATGAAAATTGCAGCCCACCCACAACCAAAGTAGCATCTTGCTGTTGACCTGTCCTGGAGCAGTCTTTCCAGTCAAGGGAGACTAAGGACAAGTTAGCACATGCACATACTTCCCCTCCAGGCCAAGCTATTTGTCTCTCCACCTTACACACAGGACTGGGGGTATGGAAAGCCCAAACAAAGATATTCCTCATTTTTCTTTTATTGTAGAAATAGCCATGTCTCACTTTTTTTTAATTGTCCTTGTTGATCTGAGGAATTGAGGAACAGAAGCCATGGCCAGATTTGTTTTGTTTTAATTCTAAAAATTCTTAAATTGTTTTTTTTTTTTTACAGCTTGCAAAGAAATTTATTTTTTTTACAGTCTTTAAAAGTTATGAACACAAAGATGGTGTGACAACAAAACGTGGCCTGAAAAACCTAAAATATTATCTGCCCCTTAAAAAAAAAAAAAAAAATTGCCGACCACTGCTTGTGTGAAAGTGAAGTTTCTTTGTAGTCTAAGTGGTTTAGAGCAAAACAGCAAAGTTCTGGAATCTGTGAGTCATGAAATGAATTTACAGGAAGCTCATTACAGGATTAAGTATTAGTACTTTTCTACCCAGCAGTTTTTTTTTTAATTGATTCTTTGTGGATTTCACATTATGCACTCCAATCCCACTCATCACCCCATCCCTTTTGTCTGCCCTCTGCCCTTGCAACTTCCCCCTGAAAAATAAAATACAATTAAAAAAAAAAAAAGACAAAAAGAAACAAAAATATCATCATGGAAGCTGTAGTGTGTCACCAATCACACAGTATACATGTTTATTCATCCATCTTTACTTGCAAATGCTCATTACAGTGAGTCACTGGCCTGGTTTGAGGTCTCTGGTTTCTGCTACACTATCAATATTGGATCCTCACTGGGACTCTCTTGGATATCCTATTGTTACCATGTCATTGCAGCCTTGGATCTGAAACACTAGCCCCTTCACATGCTCCAGCAGTTAATAGATGGGGTGGATGTTGGATGGGCCAACTCAGCCCTGCATCTGGGCTGACCACCAGCTCTCCCGAATCCTCACCACTGGGGCATGCTCTCCATCACTGCCCTGGCTAGCTTGCCCATTGCTGCAGGCAACAAGGGGCACTGCCAGTTCTCCCACCCAGACTGATACCACCAGGGCCAGCTCTACTGTGCTGCCTAACTAGGATACAGAGCCTGCTCCTCCAAGTGCTGCAGCTGGTGAGGAAGAGGACCAGCTCTCCCGCCTGGCACAGGTGACAATGGTGAGGGGGTGGAGAGGGCATCTTTTCTGCAACCATTCGACGGACCTGCAAACAAGGGACAGTTTCTTTAAAATCCTAAATGAAATTAACTGTGAGTTTTTGATGCTTGGGTGGGGGAGGTCAGAAAAGAAATGTGTAGAAACCAATGACAAGAATAAGAGCAAGATGACCTGATGGTTTTCAGGTTCTTGGCTGGCCAGCTAGTTGCCTAGTCACAGCCTGAAACTAGGTTCAGAATCTGCCAAAGTTCCAGGTCCTGAGATGACCTGTTCGATGATGTCATAGAAAAGCTACCTTTATATTCATTCCATCCAGAATGCCATAATTAATAGGACAGCTACAGTGATCCACCTGAACCAGCAGGAGAGGGTCGTCAGCAAGTCCCAGATGTTAATCATGGTGCAGATAATTAATGACATGGCAAGTATTTGTTGGCTTCACGAAATATTTCACAAGACACTTCGAAGCAGTATTCAATGGGACTTGATAAGCACTCGGAATTATCCTCTACCCAGGCTCCCTCCATTGCGCTAAGTCAAGGGAGATCTTTCCGTTCTTTCTCTTGTTTTATGTCTTTTGTCTTGGGGTCTTACTGAAAGAAGAACCCATGAAACTCTGGCTGACTTGGAGCTCACTATGTAACCTTAAAAGCACATGAGAAGCCAGAGTAGTGGTGCAGGCTGGTACTTCCTGGAGACAACGGCAGGAGAACTGCCAAGTCAGAGGCTAGCCTAGGCTATAGATCGAACACAAGGTCCAGCCTACGCAAGGTAGTGAAATTCTATCTCCAAATAAAAAGTAACAAGAGGGCTAAAAGTAGACCTTGTCTAGCTTATGCTTTGCCCTGGGTTTAATCTCTAAAACCACAGGAAATAGAGATAGAACTAAGACCAGATGCCTGTCTTGGCTACATGAGAATTCAGTCACCCATTCTGCAGAAATGCAGGGCCAGAAAGTGGGAGCATCTTTGAATCATCAGTCTCACCTGCCTGAAACTAAACCAAATGGGAACTTAATTAGCAAGGGCCCCTTGGTGAAGGGCAAGCATGCCATTTCTATGGAATTTGCTCCACCCCTAGTAGGGATAGGCCCTTCTCTGCTTAATCCAATTATGAACTAACCTGATTAACACCTAGTCCAGGGTACTTAAAGTGATGCTGCTAATCACAGTGAAAAGAGTGTAGTTCATCTATGGGAGAAGTCAGTAACGGTTGAAAAAATATGCTCTGTAGTCGGGCTGCCTAAATGAACAATCCCAGTCACACCATCACCTGCTGGATGGCCCTGAGAAAGGTGGTGAACATCTGTGCCCTTTGCTGTGATATCGATGAGAGTATATACTGAGCACACTGGGCATAAAGATTACAGTTCAGAGCATCGGTGTGGGTGAGTTAATCTCAATTCCAGGGAATAATGAGAAAATAAATTGTGCAGAGCACTCCCTATAGCTGTCATTCTCTCACCCAGTGCGCATTCTTCCATAAGGGCTGGGGAAGAATGAGGGAAAACTAGAAGTGACTCCAATAGGGAAAACCAGGCCCCAAACAGCTTGTTTATGACAGCCATGAGCAAATATAAATATAGTGATCTGAGGTCCCAGGAAGGAAAACTTTAGTTAGGTGGTAGCAACAACTATTGGAAATCTTACTGAGGAAGTTTAGCAAATAAGTAAATAAATGCATAAGTCAAATCATTAAATGAATGGTATTAATACTTTAAGAGTGAACACTCCCACGAAGCAAGACATCTCACCATTGATGAATTTTACCTGTCTTTAAAATTATTGGCTACAGACATCTAGCTGACATAGCATCTCTGCTTTCACCTTAATACTTTCATTTCTCCCTGGCTGACCTACATCTTCCCAAAGGTAGCCGCCTCTACTGTGCCATTTGGTAAGCAGACTTCTAGCTTGTTTGCGAATGCATCACCTATCATGTGTACTCGAAAACAAAGCTATGTCTAGCCTCAGACTCACTCAGAAAAGGTTGGACCATCTGTGGGACCCTAAGGTAGGGTGCCTGGATTTGAAGACTTCCCCTATTCTTGTACCCTTTGCAAGATCCTCATTTTATTTCTTGCAAGACTTTGTGAGAGTCTGTGACCATGCCCATATCCCCCTGTGTTCTGTCTGGTTTTAGGATGAACTGAAACAGTTGTTAAAAGCTGCTGGGAGCAGGCTTGTGGTGGTGGAGTTCTCAGCAAAGTGGTGTGGCCCCTGCAAAATGGTTGGCCCCATTTTCCAGGTAAGTATTTCCAGTGTCTACCTCATAGTTGCCAAAGGAATTTAGGTCCCCAAAGGTTTCACAGCCACTCTAAAAGATTTTTCTACTTCTGAACTATCTATAGGGTGTATTTCTATTGTTGTTTTATTTGTTTTTAAGCATTCCAGTGAACCTGGAGCTAATACCCTGGAATCTGGAATCTCATTAGTAGATGCCCAAAGATTGGGATTATTTGTCTGTGGGCAGTTCACCAAGGAACACCAGCATATGCTGAAGAATTGTTGCGTACAAATGAATGGGAATTCATATCATCTTACCCAAGTCGGAACTCAGACCTTACAAATATTAAGAGACCACAGAGAGAGGCAATATTTATGCTTAGACTTAGTATAGGTCTGTGTACCACTTGCATGCCTGGTGTCTGTGAAGGTCACAAGAAGGCATCAGAACTAGAGTCACAGACAGTTGTGAGTTGCCATGTGTGTGCCAAGAACTGAACCCTGGTCCTCGGAAAGAACACCAGTGCTCTTAATCACTGAGAAGTCTCTCCAGCTCCCATGCCAGGATATTTTAGTTTCCTTTCTCCTGGTTGTACAAAAGTCTCCTGGTCACCTTTAGGAAATGTATTCCTTCCTTCAAATATAAAGACATTTTAATCCCATGACTTAGGGTTTCTAACTTAGGATTTCTATTGCTGTAAAGGGACACCATGACCAAAGTGGCTCACTTACAATTCCAGAGATTCAGTCCATTATCATCATGGCAGAGAACAGCAGCATGCAGGCAGACATGGTGTTGGTTACATCTTGACCACAAGGCAGCAGGAAGTGGACAGAAACACTCACTGGTACCCAAGGCATAGGAAATCTCAAAGCCCACCCCCACAGTGACAAACTTCCTCCAACAAGGCCATACCCACTCCAACAAAGCCACACCTCCTAATAGTGCCACTCCTTATGAGATTATGGGGGCCAATTACATTCAAACTACCACAATGACACAATTAAAAACATAGTCTGTTTTCAGTGAGGTTTCTAAAATCTTGGATTTTCTCACATGACCTCTTGGATCTGCTGAAACTAATTCTCACAAGTCACAACCATCAATGTTTTGTTTTAAATGAGCTTGTAGCAGATAAAGAAAGGTATAGTGTGCATGCATGCATGGATATTTACATATGCAGGTCCAAGGTTGATGAAAGATTTTTCCCTCAATTCCTCTCTATCTCACATATGAAGCAAAGTCTCTTGCAGAACTTAGAGCTCATCGTTCAAGCTAATCTGACTAAGCATGTTGCTCTGGGGACCCACTGTGTCTGCCTCCTGCATGCTGAGGTTATAGGCAGGCCACCATACTCAATGGCTTTTTCATGGGTTTTAGATATCGCAGTCTTTACACTTTCATGGCAAGGGCTTTACCCACTGAGCATCCTTCCATCTTTGTGACACTTCCGCATCCCTGCTATGCCTGAAACTCTTGGACTGTGCAGAAGAACATATTACTATCTGGCAGACCACTCTGTCACTCAAAACTAAGAAAGAAGGACCCCTAACTATGCCACAGAAAAAGCCAGTACTCAGGTACAAAAGTGTGAATCCATTCAAATGACATATAGTTAAAACTGATGCCAGTAGCCAATAAAAGGCACATAATACACCATGTGTGTGTATTATGTGTATTATGCACCTCAGCTGCCATAATTCCTCAAACACCATCTATCTTGTTTATTGATGTTATTTTGGTTTGGCTTTTGGCTTTTGGATTTTGGATTTTGGATTTTTTTTTTTTTGACAAGGTGTCTAACTGGGCTGGAACTCACTGAAGGGCTAACCTTACTGTGACTAGTGAACCCCAGAGATCCATCAGCCTCTACAACCATAGAGCTAGAATTACAAGTGCATATCACCACACCTATTTGTCACATGGGTTCTAGGGATCAGACTCGGGTGTTCATGATTGAAGACCAAACACTTTACTGACATATTTCTCCAGCCTTAAAATTCAAGCCTTTTTCTTTTTAAAAAAAAAACTGGTGATGATGTGGGGAATCTGTATTGTTAGATGATGTGAAGAAACTGTTTTGCTATATTTTTGTTGGTAGAAAGGTGAGAAAATATTCTTACTCTGAAAATAATTCAGTAATTATTTATAAGGCATATAAACTATATGTATATGTATTAATATTAGAATGTTAGAAAAATAGTACTATAAATAACTTAGTATAGCATATTAAGTCATTAACCTATGACCTAAAAATTAACATTGAATTAATCTATGACCTAACAGTTGTACTCTTGATCAAATGAAATGAGCCTACTTGTAAACACTCATAGTATTTACCTTTAATATTTAAAAGCTAAAAGAAAAGCTCATGTCTTTCAATAGACAGTGATTATACAAGAATTAAAAGGAATTATGTAAACTCCATTCATTATATATGCAGATAAACACAGCAGAAGGATAGCTATCAAAAAGGGGGAGAAGTTTCTGTGAGTGAGTGACAATTGGAGGAAAATGTGATTGGAAGAATTTAGCATTTGCTGTACCGTGATTACCGTAGTGACGGACCTTTTGTAAGGGAACAGATTCCGGTCTTTCATGTGATTTTGTTAGACTCGTGATCTATGAGGGGATGGGAAGAAGGCACTGTCTAGTCACTGTACCCATCAGAGATCAAATCAGGAGAGATAAATAAAGATAAACAAGGGTTTTTAATACCTGGAATTAAATGCTTATTCAGTCACTGGAAAGCGGGTGAGAAAGCTGGGGATGGGACCAGAGTCTGACAGGCTGACCTGGCCTGGCCTAGAACTCCATATATTACCTGGCTGGCCTCAGTCTTATGATTCTCCAACCTCTGCTTTTTGTTGTTGCTTTGGTCTGTTTGGTTTGGTTTGTCTTTCTGAGACAGGGTTTCTCTGTGTAGCCCTTGCTGTCCTGGAACTCTCTCTGTAGATCAGGCTGGCCTGGAACTCACATAGATCCACCTGCCTCTGTCTCCAGAGTGCTGGAATAAGATGCATGACCACCACTGCCTCTTGGTCTTTGTGTTTATTATACAAGAATTTTCTCCCATATCTCCATTTCAAGAGACCACAGAAGAAAGAACCCCAACATAAATTGCAATCAACACACAAGCTTGCAGGGAGGATTACCAGTGGCAGGCTTCTCAGGCATCCATCTAAGCCCTCCCCATGCCTTGAATTTCCCACTTCTCTATCCCTGGGGATAGCTCCATTTGGTATTGACTCCACTTGGACAAGCTTTAAACACCTTCTATGTCACCTTTCAGGAATAGTCTGATTTGACAAAGGTGACTAGAAATGCTTGTGACATAATCTGTAAACAAATCAAGACACTATCAAGTGACCAACAGCTGTCTGAACATAAATCTGTGCTGGCATAAATCACTACTGTCCTTCATCTGCACAACCCATGAGCCAGGACCTTGCTGTCACCACCTCTGTCAAAGACATTTCCAGAACAAAATAGAAGCAGGAGACAGCCCCTTCCTCCCACCACCTTTCATGGCTTCCCATGGACTAGCTGGAAGTCAGCTGACAAAGAGAGTCTGGAAAATCTAGTTTCAATATCTGATAGATTGCAGAGAGTGTGGGAAGGTGGAAAAAGCTGGGCTGATGATGGTCCTCAGGGAAACCTACTGCCCCCCCCCAGCATCACACCTTCCAAACCCTGTCCAGATGAGGAGGTCAAAGCACCAAGGACATGTCTGGTTCAGAGAACTGCATCTTTCTTCTGGGAAACCAGGACCATGGCACCATTTCTGACAGTGATCTAAGCCCACCCCCATCACCCCAGACAAATTTTGAAAACCATTACAGTTAATTCCTTGATGCCTTCAGAAAAATGCTACCCCTGACAGGGTAGATCTGGCTCCACTGCACACAACTCAAATCTTAGGATGCCAATCATTTTGTCCTTAGACTCTGGAATGGATCCTCACTTGACCTTGAGGAGCTTCAAGTTCTAGGCTGTAATGAACCTTCAGAATGATGCTTAGGTCTCTTTAACAACCAAGTCATAGCCCGGCCGGGGTATCACACACCCTTAATCCAAACATTTGTGAGGTCAAGGCCAGCCTGATCTACAAAGTAAGTTCCAAGACAGCCAGAGATACACAGAGAAACCCTATCTCAAAAAACCAAAAGGAAAAAAAAGGAAGGAAGGAAGGAGGGAGGGAAGAAAGAAAGGAAAGAAACAACAGAGTCATACATTATATATGTCCTTTCCTCAAAATGACATTTTTGGTACAAATGTTAATATTTATATTGTTTTATTCTTTTGTCTTGAAGGCAATGTCTCTAAAATACCAAAACGTCATGTTTGCTAGTGTGGATGTGGACTCATCTAAGGTAAGGCTCTTAAATCCTCTGTGAGGAACATCGAAACCCAAATGCAACGTCACTGAGCCATTCTGTCAAAGTGATGGCAGTGCCTGGTTAAAAACAAATGTAATTCCGCATCTTTGTTTTAAATGCAGCAAACTGTTTTCTTTAAATGTTAGCAAATACATGGTGCTCCCTCCTCCTGTAGCAGACATCACCAGTCAATCCCAACAGTCCTCACTACTTGTTCCTCAGCCCTGTTACTCTAGGCCATGGTTCTCACATCCCCTTTGGGGGTCGCATACCAGATGCTTACATTATGATTCCTAACAACAGCAAAATTATAATTATGAAGTAATGACTAAATAATTTTATGGTTGAGGGGTCACCACAACATGAAGAACTGTACTAAAGGTTCACAGCATTAGGAAGTTTGAGAACCACTAATCTAGGCAGAAATTACAATGGAGCCATGATGAAAAATTATTTTTAGGTTGTGGTAAGTTATTACTCATTTTCTAATACCTTGTTCAATAATTACAGACATTTTAACATATCTCATTTTGGTATCCTGTCTTTGTATTTTTGGGGGGTGTTTATATAGCATAAAATTTCCAGGAAATTCTTCCCTCTTGTCCCTAGATCTGTTCTCCCCCTTCTCCTGTCCCCTCTCCCAAAATAATCAGCCTTCTAGTCTCGAGCCAAAGATGTCTTATTGCTGTATAAATTATCTCCTAGGACTTATTATCCCCAGGAGTTGTTAATTTATAATAAGGAAATGTAATTATATTAATTAACTTTCTGTCACTATAGAAGGTTTGTTTTGTCTCACCATGTTAGAAAAGGGAGTCCTTGGTCAACTCATGGCTGCTTTTGGACCTGCAGAAGGCAGCACATTTGGGCAGGAGTGCATGCCAGAATGAAATAATCCTGTCATTAGTAGGAAGAAAAAAAGAGGAAGAAGGGGCATGGCCCAAAAAAGACTAATGGCCTCCTGGTAGGCCTCACCTCTCGAGGGTTCCACTGCCTCCAATAGCTCCACGCTAACCCAAGAGAGGCACTCGGCCTTCCAACTAGGGCAGAAAAAAAACAGCAAGTGACCCACCCAAGCACTGAGTTGAAGCTGAGCTTTAAAATGATCAGGGAATCAGAAATTAGTTCTCTTCTTTGTCATAATTAGTCATACTTTTGTCAACAACACAAATTTTGCATACATGGGAAGATTTTGGCTATTGTGATATTTCCATAAATTTTACTGAATAAATTTCTGTGTGATCATTCAAGTTTTGATGTCTCTTAGAGCTATATCTACACGTGTAGTTGTTGCTACTACACTTTGATTGTATATCGATGAATTAGAAAACACATCATTTTACATTCTCACTGCTACAGTAGAGAGTTCTGATTTCCCCACATTCTTGCAAACACAAGTTACTCTCATCTTTTTGATTATAGATTTTTTTTATTTCTTATGATGAAGCAAAAGACATACTTTTCTTTTTTGTTTTTTTTTATTTAATTTATTATTTTACATGTTGATCCCAGTTCCTTCTCCCTCTCTCCCTCCCTCCCTCCCTTTTACCCTCTCTGCTCCCTCACATGCACTCTGATCACCCTCCCCTCCCATCCCCCTAGCCTAATTCCACATGTAGGGCAATGCCATCCAGGTGGGGTCATGTAGATCTGTCAGGTCATTTGAAGTGGGAACTAGGACTTCTCTCATGTCTCTAGGTTAAGGCAGTTATCCTCCATGGGGGATGTGTTCACAAGGTCCTTTTGTGCACCAGGGATACATCCTGGTTCCACTGTCTGTGGTCCCTTAGATTGCTCAGTCCTTCTGGCTGAGACCCATATTCAAGGGGGCCTGAGTCAGTCCCATGCTGGCTTCCCAGCTATCAGTCTGGGGGCCCATCAGCTCCTCCTTGTTCAGGTAAGCTGTCTCTATATGTTTCTGCAACCTGGTCTTGTCCTCTCCGTCTGCATCTGGATTCTAGTTTGACTCAGTGCTTAGGTATGGGTGTTTGCTTCTGTTTCCAACAGGTATTAGATGAGGCTCCTTGGATAAGTTAGTTGTTGATCTCACTATCCAGGAAGGTTATTTATGGTAGCCTTTCCATGGTTGCTCAAATTGTTAGTTGGTTGCTCAAATTGTTCGTTGGCAGCAGTCTTGTAGGTCTCTAGACCTTTCTTTAGGTTCCATTTTCTCTTCAACCAATATTGGCTCCCTCTTTTATGTCCTCTCTCTCTCTCTCTCTCTCTCTCTCTCTCTCTCTCTCTCTCTCTCTCTCTCTCTCTCTCTCTCTCTCTCTTGTGTCTTCTATTCCTACCCTGACTAATTCTTCCTAGTCACTCGTGTTTTCCTCTCTTCCCCCTCTCTTTCTCCTAATTCTCTCTCCATTCACTACCCCCCCACTTCCCCTGTGCTCTGAGGACTTGTCCCTTCCCCCTTCTGTGAGGGACTTTATATGAATCTCTTAGAATACACCTTGTATCCTAGTTCCTCTGGTGGTATGAATTATAGGCTGGTGATCCTTTGCTCTAGGTCTAAAATCCATATATGAGCGAGTACATACCATGTTCCTCTTTTTGTGACTGGGTTACCACATTCAGGATGGTTTCTTCAAGTCCCATCCACTTGCCTGCAAATTTCAAGATTCCATTTTTTTCTGCAGAGTAGTATTCCATTGTGTAGATATGCCACATCTTCTTTATCCATACTTCAGTTGAGAGGCATCTAGGTTGCTTCCAGGTTCTTGCTATTACAAATAGTGCTGCTATGAACATAGTTGAAGAGATATTGCATGGAAGTGGATCATTTGGGTATATGCCTAAGAGGGGGATTGCCAGGTCCTGTGGTAAACTAGTACCCATTTTCCTGAGGAACCGCCATACTGATCTCCAAAATGGCTGTATGAGTTTGCACTCCCACCAGCAGTGGAGGAGTGTTCCTCTTTCTCCACATCCTCTCCAGCATGAGTCCTCATTGGTGTTTCTAATTTAGCTATTCTGGCAGGCATAAGATGGTATCTCAAAGTTGTTTTCATTTGCATTTCCCTGATAGCTAAGGATGTTGAGCACTTTCTTAAGTGTCTTTCAGCCTTTTTGATTTCCTCTATTGAGAAATCTTTCTTCAGTTCTGTACCCCATTTTTTAATAGGGTTTGATGTTTTGTTGACTAGTTTCTTGACTTCTTTGTATATTTTGGAGATCAGCCCTTTGTCGGATATAGGATTGGTGAAAATCTTTTCCCAGTCTGTGGGCTGCCATTTGGTCTTGTCCACTGTGTCCTTTGCCTTACAGAAGCTTCTAAGTTTGAGGAGGCCCCATTTATTAATTGTTGTTCTCAGTGTCTGTGCCCCTGGAGTTATGTTCAGGAAGTGGTCTCCTATACCAATTTGTTCAAGGGTACCTCCTACTTTCTCTTCTAAGAGGTTCAGTGTAGCTGGATTGATGTTGAGGTCTTTGATCCATTTGGACTCAAGTTTTGTGCATGGCAACAGATATGGGTCTATCTGCAGTCTTCTACACACCATCATCCAATTGTGCCAGCACCATTTGTTGAAGATGTTTTCCTCACCCCATTGTATAATTTTAGCTATTTTGTCAAAAATCAGGGTTTGTAGGTGTGTGGGTTAATATCAGGATTTTCAATTCGATTCCATTGGTCTACCTGTCTATTTTTATGCCAATGCCAGGCTGTTTTCAGAACTATAGCTCTGTAATAGAGCTTAAAGTCAGGAATGGTGATGCCTTCTGGAGTTCTTTTATTGTATAGGGTTGTTTTGGCTATCCTGGGTCTTTTGTTTTTCTAAATAAAGTTGATTATTATCCTTTCAAGGTCACTGAAGAATTGTGGTGGGATTTTAACAGGGGTTGCACTGAATCTGTAGATTGCTTTTGGCAATATTGCCATTTTTACTATGTTTATCCTACCTATCCAAGAGCATGGGAGATCTTTCAATTTTCTGGTATCTTCTTTAATTTCTTTCTTTAAAGACACAAAGTTCTTATTATATAGGTCTTTCACTTGTTTGGTAAATGTTTACCCCAAAATACTTTATGTTGCTTGTGGCTATTGTAAAGGGTGATGTTTCTCTGATTTCTTTCTCCACCTCTTTGTCGTCTGAATAAAGTAGGGCTACTGATTTTTTTGAGTTTATCTTGTATCCTGTTAGTTTGCTGAAGGTTTATCAGCTGTAGGAATTCCCTGGTAGAGTTTATTGGGTCGCTTATGTAAACTATCATATCATCTGCAAATAGAGACAGTTTGACTTCTTCCTTTCCAATTTGTATCCCCTTGATCTCCTTTTGTTGTCTTATAGCTTTAGCTAGAACTTCAAGTACAATATTGAAGAGATGTGGAGAGAGAGGGCAGCCTTGTCTTGTTCCTGATTTTAGAGGAATCGCCTTAAGTTTCTCTCCATTCAGTTTGATGTTGGCAGTTGGTTTGCTGTATATTGCTCTTATTTTGTTTAGGTATGTTCCTGTTATCCCTGATCTCTCCAAGACCTTTATTGTGAAAGGGTGTTGAATTTTTTCGAAGGCCTTTTCAGCATCTAGGGAGATGATCATATGATTTTTCTTTTTCAGTTTGTTTATATGGTGGATCACATTGATAGATTTTCGTATGTTAAACCATCCCTGCAATCCAGGGATGAAGCCTACTTGGTCATGGTGGATGATTTCTCTGATGTGTTCTTGGATTCAGTTTGCCAGTATTTTATTGAGCATTTTTGCATTGATGTTCATCATGGATATTGATCTGTAGTTTTCCTTCTTAGTTGTGCCTTTGTGTGGCTTGGATACCAGGATGATTGTGGCCTCATAAAAAGAGTTTGGCAATGAACCTTCTGTTTCTATTTTGTGAAACAATTTGAGGAGTATTGGTATTAGTTCTTCCTTGAATGTCTGGTAGAATTCTGCACTGAAGCCAACTGGCCCTGGGCTTTTTTTTTGGTTGGAAGTCTTTCGATGACTGCTTCTATTTCATTGCAGCTTGTAGGTCTATTTAAGTTGTTTGTCTGTTCTTGATTTAATTTTGGTAAGTGATAGTTATCCAGAAATTTAAGACACACTTTTCTAATAATAACTTATGGAGGAGCTGTTGCTGTGGCAATTATTACTAAAAATACAACTTGGTGTGTGTGCAATGCTTCTTTGTGTCTGTGTCTGTTGTGGGCAGAAAGGAGTTAAAATCAATCAAATGGCATATCAACAGGAGAGTTTAGTTCTTTTTCCATGGACAGCTGCTTTTATTCAGCTTCTAAACAAGGGAAACTAACAAACAAAAAATACCACTTGGAAGCAGTTTGATTTGGGTTAAAATTATGGAATCCTGGCCCTTTCTCTTGTCCTTTTCCTCCAAATGTTTCAGAAGTAAAGATGAGTAGTAAGGAGGAAAGGCTAACAAGGCTTAAAAGAAAAAACTGTGCTAGCCTTAAGAGTGTCATGTCTTCAGTGTAACCAGTGAAGACATGCCTTTTTCTTCCTCTTTTTGCAATATGGTATTTCCATACTAGGCTTCCTGGGGCTCCCCTCCATCATCAGTGTTGTTAAATACAACTCATTTAGCCACTCCCCATCCATTCCTTTGACCTTCATCTCATCCCTCACAGAGAGCTCTGGAAAGAGAAATCCAAGAATGCCATAATGGTCCTCTTTACACAAGGGGTGTCCTGAAGGCTTTGAGGTTATGTGAGGAAATTCTGTAAAGTGTCAGGTGCCCTTAGGCTTTAAGACAGTGCTTCTTAGAAGTCACCAAGTCGCACACTTGGTACAGAGAGTCACCAAAACTGTGACTTCACAACAATTCTTTTCTTTCCTAGGAACTGACTCAACTTTGTGACATCAAAGCAGTACCCACATTTCAGATGTTCAAGCACACCCAAAAGGTATGTTTCCATGGAAACCAGCAGGGATGAATTAGATGATACAACCATCAGCACTAAAATAAAAAACCCTGGTGCTCCTTGGTTAGATGAAAATACTTGGGTTTTTTTATTTTAATTATTAATCTCAAACACCACACACCATGGTGAGGGATAAAGAAAATGCATGACTTATAGTAAGTCTCTCCCTATCTGAAGCATTCAAATAATAGAAAGCATACTGTTCCCTCCACTCAGGGGTAGAAAAATTAAGAACCTACCTGATAAGAACATGATGAAATTCTCACACAAGAGTGTATAGTCATTAGCAGGACATGCAGAAACATCCACCAAAAATTATTGTAAGGCAATATAGCCTCATGACATAGTATGCACAGCCCAGGTAAAATCCCCATGGCCCAAACACAAGCTTTCTCATTCTTAGTTATGGGCCCTTCAGTGGCTTACTTAGTCTTTTTATATCATTTCCCCCCCATTTGTAAAGTAGAGATAATATAAATTTTCTGTCATTTATTATGAACATTAAATATGTTATCACGACTAAAGTGTGAGATCCCTCCTGCCATTAGTGGTTTAACGTGTTCTATTAGTTGTTCTCTTATAGGTATTAATGGGATAAAATGTCTAAAATGTTCAGCACATGATAAAGCTAGTATTTTCAGATATGACAGGAGGGAACTTGATAGTTACTCACACATGCTTCTTGAACTATCATTTTGTAGCAAACTTAGGAGACATAAAATATACATTGTCTTTCACAACAATATCTTGTCCCTAGGAACCTATGCCATAGAAACATCCCAAAGAAAAATACAGTAACTGAATATATAATAATTGTGGCATTATTTCTAATGTTGACAATAGAAGCAATTATGATGCCTTGTTCAGCAAAATGTCTAAGTAAGTTCTGGGCCATCTGTTCTGTGGAATGGTATACAACTAAAATGTTATGAGGAATTTTGTGAAATTTAAAAGTCATGCTTAGGTTTTAAAAAGATTGTGTCTAAATTGGGGAAAATGAAAGCATTTATTTGATCTACCAGGTGTACAGTTTATTTTTGTTTTTATTTTTTTTTTTTTGGTATTTGCTGTAATATAATTGATGCAATAGATTTGTTCTTTTTGAACACTAAATGTTTCTTCCCATGGCATTTAGTTGAAAATAAAACTATTTAACATGTGTTTCCTTAACTTACCCCACCTACATGTCTAATTGCCTGTGTATATCACCTTTGCTACCATCTCAAACTTGAGAACATGTTCTTCTTGCAACATCAGTACCATCCTTACACCCTGCCTGCCTCCCCTCCATCTGTTGCCTTCTTTGGGTCTGGTGTTTTTTCAACCAGCATCCATACTCTATTTTTTATTAGGAGCCCTATTTCCTATGTTTAGTCTCAAGCTCCACCCCTAGGTTACAACCAATCAATTAACTCTATCCACATCAGGTATGGACCCTTTCATTTGATCAAGCCACTTCATATCACACCAAAAGTAATGCTTGAATTTGGTGGAAGGAGCTAAGTCAATATATTTTCGTTTGCTGCTGCTGGGTTTACACTTGAGGACAGAAGCTATGACACAGCTCACTGCCACATGGGACCTGATAATGAAGCCATCATGCAAAAAAAGGCAGAACACAGCCAAGATATTAGTGCTTTAAACTCTGAGCTTATTGGAGGTGTAAGGAGGGCTCAGCGGTGACAAGCACTCATAGCTCTTACACGGGACCTACATTATGGCTTATAGCCATCTGCAACTCCAGTTCTAGGGAGTCTGCCACCAGGCACCAAGCATGTACATGGTGCACAAACATACAGGCAGGCAAACACTCATGCTCATAAAAAAATTAAGAATAAATAAATAATAAACTGAATTCATCCACAGCTTAAGCTTAAATCATCCCATAGTCTTCATGTTTATAAATTGAATGTATTTTAGCACTAACTACAACAACAACAAAAAACTAATAAATTTAAACAGAGGAAGAGAAAGGGGTTGGGAATACTATAATTCCATTCTAGAGTATTCCTCCAATGCCCTGAAGATGACCTGCTAGGCCCTACTTCCTCCCACAGTGTCCTGGAGAATACAAGTTACCATATGGACTTCTTGTGGACACAAAACCTGAAAATAGATTTAAATTTGCTAATAGGCAACTATCAAAAAAGTGAACTTAACTGAATTGATGATAACACCAGTAGCCACTGTAACTCTCCACAGATTTAAATTTGCTGATTTAAGTAATTAACAGAAAGTAAAATTAACTGAATTGGTAATATTACCAGTAGCTACTATAACTCCCTGATTTCTAATTCCAGGGCTATCCAATAAGCCCCTGATTATAATGTATATAGACATGTTCCAAAATTTTCTTAATCGAAGTTTTCATTGAATACTATTAGCATAGCAAACTGATTGTGGAGTTCATAAACTAAACAGCTGGGATGGAGAGATGGCTCAGCTCTTATGAGTTTAGTTCCTAGCACTCAGATCCTGTGGCTCACAACCACCTGCAACTCTGTCTCCTAGGGACCCAATGCCCTCTTCTGGCCTCTGTGGATACCAGTGTGTACAGACACACAGAGGGACACAGAAATAAAAAATAAAAATAAAGTCTCTTTCTAAAAACTAAACAATCTGAAACAATTTCTATCACAATGTATCAATGCATCTATTTCTAATCATATGAAAACCTGCTTAAAAACAAAACAAACAAACAAACAAAAAACTAGCAACAAAACAACTTTGGTACACCAAAGGTGAGAGCCAAGAAAAAGATACCAAGATCCTAAGTGGATAGCACTAAATCTTTTACTTCTTTTGACTCAAATCTCAAAATGGAGTCTGAACAGGTCTTTAGGGTTCCATGGGGCCCCACTTTCCCATTGCATCAAGAGTTAGAGTTAATCCATGATGTGTCTACATCCTTTTCCCCCAGTTTCTGTCTCACAGTGGTCTGCAGAGGCAGTCACTGCAAAGGAGGGGTTTAGGGTGGCCAAGGAAAAAGATATATTCATTTGAATGTCTACTTGTTAGGAGACCAGAGCAAGAAAGCTTTTATTGGTATCAATTATCTTCTAGAAAGTAGAGAAAAATGGAATTCATGTCACTGAAACCACCTCCAGAAATGGGCTCCATGCCTTCATCTGGAACATGCAGCTGGTAACTGACTTATTGAAGCAATTAAGTACCACTTAACCATTTTTTTAAAAGCTAGAATCCAGTTCTATTGAGGATTGTTTCAAGAAATCTCTTTATGGTTCCTGTAAGACATCTGTGTGTTTCCAGTAAGACATCTGGCAAATAGCCAGTGTGCCTCTTAAAGGTTCACAGTACAAAAAAGAGTCATAAGTCACCCTAGAACACAGAATGATATCTTCCTCCTTTGGGAACACAATGTGTGCCATTGCATCAGATAGGAAGAGCTGGGGTTCCCCTTTTTTTTTCCTATAGGCGCCAAGAATCTCAGGCTTACTTCTGCTGCTCTAATCCCTTGGTCCCTTACCTGCTTGTGTCTCCAGTGTTCCAAAAAGACATCCACCATACTACACCGTCCTTAGTCTTTTACTGTTTTCTTTGGCCATCATTCTTGCCCATGTCATTTCTAGTGTGTATACATCATAAGTAGATTTTTTTTTAATGAAAACACATAAAGCCATAAATCATGACCTGGGGTCATGGTACTTAGTGATCATTCCCTGGCTGCTGAAAGGTTTCATTTAAGAAGTTAGTTGGCAGGGATGCAATATAGGAAATTATGGTAGTGGGTAGGGATGGCTCAGTCAGTAAACTTGCCATCGAAGCGCATAGGCCTGAGTTTGAACCCCAAAACTCACATATGAAAAGCCAGGTGTGACTGTGTGTTTGAAATCCCAGTGTTGGAGAGACAGAAACAGGAGGATGCCTGAGGACTGCTGCCATCCAGGACACCTAATGGGCGGGTTCTATCCACATGAGAGATGCCATTTCAAAAAACAAGGTAGATAGTGCATGAAGAGTTGACACCTGAGGTTGACCTCTCAAACCTACATTAACCTGTAAATATGCTCGAACGCATGTGCACATACAGAGCATATTCTGCATTTCAGTACTTTCTGCTATGTTCCTTAATGTTTTCATCTAAGGCATTATTATATCATGCTCTAGGAAGAATCACTGTGGTAAATGATGATTGTAATACATGTACTAGTCCCCCTTTTATCAAAAAATAATTCATTCCAAGACCACCAGTGGATGCTTGAAACCACAGACACTACTGAATGATCCTAGATATAAAATGGAAGGGTGGTCCTATTAATCCTTATTATAGATCTTGGAAACATATGTAATTATTTTCATTCCTTACTAAGTAAAGAATTTTTTTTATTTTCAGGTAAAATAAATATTTTATAGCTTTTCTTCAGCCACCAATAATTACTCTTAACAGTTTAGGGTTAATAGTAAGATAAACCAGGGTTACTTGAACATAAGCCCATAGGTGTGATGATGAGATAACTGAATTCCTAATGGGCAGGTAGAAGGACCATCTACTCTTTAAGCTTGAAAGTTCATCAGTTTCGGGATTTTGTTTACTTCATAAATTTTCTATGTAATATTTTCATATCATGGTTATCTATGTAACAAATCATAGAAAATAAAACTACACACAAAGTGAATAGCATATTTTTATTATATATAGAGATTACAAATTTTATGGACCATCCTAAAAACTCACTAGAGGCTATAAACTCTCTTCAGAAAAACAAATGGACATAGGTGTCCTGATACTTGCAAGTAATATTGGGGATTTCCATGCCTCTGAGACTGAACAATGGCTCCACTGTACCAAGAACTTTGGTGCCATGCTAAGCAGATGTCTGCAGAGCATAGGAAAGGAAGCAAAACAAAGAGTTAGCAAGTCTTGGTCAACTGCTTATGCCCGAGCCAACTATCAAAAGTTAATTGCAACTTTCATCTCTTGCCTTAGAGTAAAATGGTTTCCCAAAGCACTTAGGTGGGCC